TGATATTATGATATTATGAGTGTGAACTCCACAGGTGTTACTGTATAATGATGACACTCAGTGAGCATATTAGTCTGAGGGAATCCAGCATAATCATTTCTACGACTTGAGCTTCATTGTCCGAGTTATCTTTGTGGTTTTGTGAATACACATGAACGTGTTGGCGATTTTGTGGCCTCCAAGATATGGTGTGCTATCGGTTCGTGAATATCTTGACTTTTGGAGGAATATTTCGTCAGAGTCAGTGTCTTGTGTCCAATCTTCATGAAAGGCATGCTGATAAATTATACCGTGAAATATCAGACTATGGACATTGGATAATAAGCTACCGTGATCGTTCATATTCTGACGGTCTACTGTCGTCCACCATGACATTATTCCATTAATTACAAATGCTTGCTTACAAATTCTAGTATACATATTTTGACTATGATTTGTGATGTCAACTTTACGCGTATGTGCTTCAAATATATCTTACCCTCCTTTTTTCTTATTAGTTAGTGACCTACTGTGCGCGAAATTGGGGGAATACTGCGACAAGACGATTTACAATCGTTGTTGTGGTGAATTGGTTTGTAAGTTGAAAAAACATGGAAATGGAAGCTGTGTCACATGTCTCTACTTGAATTCGGCTTGTCTGCGGAATTCAGACTGTTGCAGTAAACATTGTCATTTGCTTCGATGTCGGAAAAAGAGTTAGAATAAATGAGTTGTCATTATCGGTCGTGACGGTGTGGTCAACATGTAACATGAATGGATGCAATGTACCTGATATATACGCTGAGATATGTTCACATCAAGCTCCTTGTAAAACCAAATAAATAAATACCATTGTAAACATTATATCGTTTCACTTTCGTGCTTATTATTCTCAATATCACATTGATCGTGTGTGTGAGTCGAAGTTGAATGTTCAGATGAGCACGGCTGAGTGTGTCTAGAGTTGATTAGTTTCGAATGCATGAAGTCGATTTTACTGGGTTTATATGACTACGAATTGAGCAGATGGATGAATGCATATTTTCCTCCTAATTACAGAACAACACTGTGTATATGAAACTATTTTGTGGATGTTGGAGATTGAGTTGAGAAACAATTCGATAGAAGCAGCATCAGTAATCTGTAAGAGAGTGCACGTAAGAGTGTATAGTGAAGTATGTATATGTAGGTTGAGGGATAGTTGGGTTTATTCCTGGTGAGACTGTGTTTGTTATTATCGTTATTCTTTCATGAAATTTTGGAATCTTCTTATTCTTACTTTTATCAATGTTTCATTGTGTTCCGGATGAAACACATGTATTCAACAACACACCTCCACTATTTCCTTTTCTCTTTGGTCCTCACAATTGCCTGTAGTATTCGGTATCCTCCTCGCTCAACTTCCTCCGTATCATACTCTCAATCTTCACTCAGTGTTTTCCATTCTAGTCACACTCGGGTGATGGCCTGCATTGCGCGCGAGATATCATTCGACGGTCTCCTCAGTGTGTGCTCAATCCATTTCGATTTTCTTCGTCATATTTGTTGAGCGATATGTTCCTCATTGATTGACTGCCAGAGTATCTTGTTGCAAGTTATTTCTGACGACTTGATGTCTATTGAAGTCTGCACACTTTTGGAAATGCCGTCGATGATGTTCGCGTCAGTTCTCTCAAACATATAGGAGAACTGACTCACTCGACATTGATGTTGAGAATCTGAATCTTGTTCTTGATCCTGAATTAGTGCAGGAGATCTCCAGATTGATCTCAGTGTGGTGAAATTGTGCCTTGTCTTTGCGTTTCTGTTGTTGATCTCTTCGTGCTTTCTGCCTCTATTTGTAGATACGCTGACTAGTTAAGTGAATGAGGTGTCCTCTTTCAAATGTATTCCGTTGGTTATAATGATATATATTTCTTGTTGTCGAGTGGTTGGTTATCTTCATCACCTGCTCGCTTCTCTATGTTCACTTGAATTCCTGTCTTCGCTGCCAGATTCGTCAGCCAATCTGTTGGTTTCCGTCTGACTCTATGTTTTCGAGTTTTTGTGACACCAGACATGAATAATATGTGGAATTCAGATTTACTACGGCCTCCGTATACATCCAACGTACGCCAGTCCTCTCACTCCCCACAATCTTACACATTGTCAATTCCACCACAATTAGGAATATCATTGTTGATAATAGGCAGTCTTGTATTACTTTCATATTCATTTCGAACGCTTCGCTGAGTTTTTGTTGTGGAACACCAAACACATGCCAGTTTCATATAGCCAGATATTGAATTTGGTTCTTATTAGTATTTTTGAAGACATTATCTGGTTGTACGTATTTTAAGCGAAAAAATATGCGTGATGTGTAGAAATACGAAGTAGTTTAAGTTTCAGTTCAGGTGCGAAGTTTATGAGGTTTGATTTGATGATTGCTGCAGCCTCATGTCATTAGGAGAAGAAATCTTAACTTTTGTGAAACTTCCAAGGGCAAGATTAATCACTCGTGACTTCGCGTGTTCTAATTGTCTTTGTGTTCGACTGGCTTTTGCTTTTCGAGATTGATGTATTCCCCTGAATATGATTCTATCTCAAAGCTTCATCCTATTGCGTCTGGATAAAGTCGGGCTTGCTCAGTGCTGAAATCTGCTTTAAGCATATCAATCGCGTGATATTTTATTACATGAATGAATCATAACTTGATTAAGATGTTGGCACTAAGTTTTGTCGTGTTGTGCACCTTTTCTTATGCATGAGCCGTGATGACTTGTACACTGCATGTATTATGTGCGTCGGTAGCACAGTGGCTAGGACTCTCGCCGACCATGCACATGGCCCGGGGTTCGATCCCCTGCCGGCGCACACCCGATATCTATGGTCGGCCTGTAAATTTGGGCTACCGATATCCGTGCTGAAAATTCCATACTTGTACTGAAAATACAGTGTGGAATCAAGCTGTAATAAAAATAAAAATAAAAAATTACGAAATGGTCGTAGGAGAAGGTGAATTTCTCGTGAGTTTAATTGATGCATTATTAACGCGCGTGTATTATTCATCACCAACATTGAAATTTCTATTAAGCACGACATATTCATCGTCATTTTAAAAATGATATGCAAGATTGTAAATGTCATGCTTAACTTCACAAAGGTGAAGATGTTACTATCAAAATCATTCAAAATTTTCGAGTGTTGGTTGTCAGGGAGTTGATTGGTTTCATTTTGTATGACAAACTGACCTCTGTTAGAGAACATCTGGAAACAACGTTTGCATCCTATTATACGACTTTTCAAGAGAACGTAACCATGACCGTCTAGGTATGGAACGAATACAGGACCTGCAGCTTCTGAGCCGCAACGGTTGACCATTCAGCCATTTATGTAGAATCCAGTAACCACACCGAGAATTCTAGCTATTGTCAATTCTGAATGTCTGTCTAATCCTTCCTGGTGAATGAATATTTGAGCAGGTTACCTGGAGTTCTAGTGAGGATCTATGAACAATCGACTGGGTTTTAGATCAAATACTCACCGATGATAATGGCGAATGGTCTTGATATAAAACGTAATACAACAGAGTTTAGAATTCATGAACTATTGAATCCTATAGCAGCATCTGAATGGTCGACGAGCTCGCCTTGTAACCTGCAGGTTTTTGGTTTGATCCATGTCACTAGTGTCATGGTTGAGTGCTTCTGAACGTTCTCAAAATGAGATGAAACAACTGTCGAATACTCACTGTCTTTTGAAGATTATCTAACTGACTTCAACTTGAAGCGAATTGTAAATTATTTTGTTAAACTCTAAGTGAACGCGACCATAAAACAATTGAGCATTCCGTCTGCTAAGTACTATTTGAACAGACGAGTAACATTAACTAATTTATCAGCATGAACCGGCCTGAAATGTGTAAGCGTACTCTATTCGCAGGAGGTTGAAATGATTTCAGTGTTATTCTGTTATGTGGCATAAGCAATGAGTGAATTTCACAGAATGCATTGTCTTTCTAGAGAAAACGTTGTTAGAATTTACTTCACAGTGATGGACACCAGAATTAAATCAACTACATTCGCATAAGTGATATTGTGTCGTGAGCCACCGATTAGATTTATCAACAATATATGAGGAGATGTGAATCGGCTTAAGACATCAAATAGCGATGAGGTAGATTTGATGTCAGAGAATGTAAATGATAGAGGGTTGCGGAGATATATACGAGCTGTGAAAGGAACACGAAGAAAGAGAATGTGAAGGAAGGCGAGATAATTAGCGCAACACGGAGGATCTGTGCAAATGGTGCGTTGAAGATAAGGTGCAAATAATTTCGCTAAATAGAAATGGAAAATTGCTAATAAATATGTCTTTACAACGTCTTCTTCTTCTAGGCAGCCATTAGCAAGACATATCTGTATTCTTGTAGAAATTTATGTCTCAAAACCACGCCATCCTTATGTTGCACACACAGGTGTCACCACTGAGCTATTTGCGGTCATGAATAACATCGTTCAGGACTGTAAGCAATGCTTTGAATGAACACTGGTTATTAGTTAGTTTCATGTCTCTATTCCTTGGTGTGTGTGCAGATCTAGGTGTAACTGATCAAAGACGTTATCGTTTGTGTATACATTTCTGCACAGTTAATGTCAAAATCTAGACATCCATGATTCTTCTGGCTTTGTAATATTATCTGATTACAAAAAGTATTTTAGAGTACGATACTTATCCGTGTATTCAAACTATCTTCACTTACATTTCTGCTGCACCACTCAATTTCCACATCATATTGATATGAAATTTCAATGATTTCTCGAAACTGAATACCTTTCAATGTGTGTGAATGTATGGATTCATTTACTGGACACCTAATTGGTCTCATTATTGGTGCATAGTAAGAGTGCAAAAGTTGTCTCAAATTTCACAATGATTCAGTAGTATTGTCACAAGCGCTTTAGGTGTGTTTGTGTGTGTATATTTCTCCTCGATGAAGCACTATTTATACATCATTCAGCACAAATCGGATTATGTACTATATTCAGTCGATTTTTTGGTTGCCTATCATCTCAGCTTTGATAACTTTCCTAAGCTGTCATGAATTATGTAAGTCACTTTAACAAATTTTTTTGACATTTTCACGTGTATCATAACATGTTTCAATTATTTTTAATCACACATAAATTCAATGTATTATATACTTTACTCCATATCATTATGCTTCTGTCTCACATTGTGAAATCTATTTACATTCGTCAGGACTACAGGAGTTGCTTTCACTTGTGTCTCAGATATTTTAACGTTTTTAAATCTGAATTACTGAATAAGCGAACAGTCTTCAGCAACATACTCGTAGTCATCTCTTCTATTTGTCTCAGTTGTACTGTTTGAATTACAAGTGGCTGCAGGGATGATGGTTTCACAGATAGCTGGAACCGCATATGGACTACAAGAAAGGCGTTCATTACTCTGGAATCAGTGTGCAGATTAACGGCACTTAGCACAAGAAACAAGATCAGAATTGGCACCATAAATGTCAATTCAGAGCTTATTAGTGGTTTAAAGCGTTTCCAACGGCCTGTCGCACACTTTGACAAACACCTCTCATTGATATAAGAATAAAACTTGGGCACTGTGGTAGAGTGTAATTCCATAATGGGTAAATTTTTATTTTGATAGAGTCTCACAGTGTTATACAGTAATATTTACTGATGACGTTTCGAGCACAAACTATTGCTCATAATCATATCAAGTTGATATGATTATGAGCAATAGTTTGTGCTCGAAACGTCATCAGTAAATATTACTGTATAACACTGTGAGACTCTATCAAAATAAAAATTTACCCATTATGGAATTACCTCTCATTGATCCATAATGAGACTAAGTTGACCAGCCGGAGAGGCTTAGGAGAAAGGAACTCAAGCAGGTAGAGATTCCCAAAACAATCTACTACTTGACAAGTATGCAGGATGAAATGTGATGGTGGACTAGATATGGGCTAGGGAGATGACTGAGTGACACCAAACGTCAGGTAACCAAGTAAGCATTCAGAACACAAGGAATGAATGCTGATAATATTATATAGTTGGAGGCAAACTGCAGGAAGCCTTGGACCTAGGCTTCGTACTAGTTAGCACTCACTGGTCGGCAAAGCGTATCTGCAACCTTGAGAGGACTCATTCCCTTCTGAGATTTGAACCCGTGTCACCCAGTGCTGCAGTCAGAGACGTTGCCAATGAGCTATTCGGGCTCGCGATTGACCTCCTGTAGGACTTTAGTGGGTATTTTCATTGGACACTACTAACTAGTGTGACTTGTCTAGTCCTATCTTTGGTGCAGACTGAATCCTATCAGTTAGGACCAGACACATCACACTAGTTACTAGTGTCCAATGAAAATACAGGGATAATAATATCGTCGCACTTCATTCACAGCCTTAAGAATCTACACAATGTCATCAGGATTACTGTAGACATTTACATTTGTTCATGGAAAGTGTCTTCAGCATCTCCAGATATGCGTTTCTGACAGGGAAAATAGCATTTAGCAGGTAATTCGAAGACGCAGATGAAACATTTACGCTCTTTGTACTCTGATGACATATTCCCGCCTCTCCTCTAGAATGAATATCACATGCCATACATACAATGTTAGAATAAGTTTCGTAGTATGTTAGTGCATTGATATCGCTCTTGAATGACAACACTTGTTTAAAGCTTTAAACTGCTTTGCTAACTATGTCTCCTAGTTAACAGGTTGTGCGGCTGTTGAGACTGTTTAATTTTCACATATTCATTCGTTTAGTAAATATTGCGGGATATACAAATTTAATGCGTCAATATACCCCACAAATCCATACATTAATTTGTACTCAACACATACTCTGAATTCTCCTTCTGTTACAATAATTAATCTTCGTAATCAAATCATTACCATTGAAATAAGAAGACTGGTGGCGAATCTCAATTAGGAGATCAGTGGAAATTATGCCCAGAGAATAGTGATTGCTAAAAATACTAATAATAATCAATTTCCCATGGGAGTAGGAGACAGTAATGCACTGGTAGAATGCTCACCAACCATGAGAGAGATCTGGAACTGATCGTTGGTCGACACATTCCTAAATCTCGATTTATTTATTAACCATATTTAAATCCCGAGGAATGGTGAGGTTGGGCATGAGGCTTGAGATCTCTCACTTTAAAATTTCCACCACTTTCACTATCACCACCACATCTACAGAAACTTCATAGCTGGAAACTCCATATTCCTATTGAGATCATTTGTTTGTTTAGTACATTGGAAGATTGAAAAATGCGAAATAAATGAGACAGACTTGAATCATGACTATTTAGAGAATTGGGTAAAGCATGATAAGAGATTGGACGTAGACACAGGATACTTTTGCACATATAAGAGAATAACTTATTCATTTAGGTTGACAAGTCTATGGTAAACAAAGTAAACGGTGAGGTTTACGCCAACTGTATTAGGTGGGCATTAACATTATCACTCAGCCTACTCAATAGTGTTTAACTGCTTGGTCAAAAATAACTGTTATGTCAAGTAACTGTTATGTCAATCTCACCTTCTGCACACTGGAAGTTCACTCTTAGTTTAACAGTTACTATATACCATTCACTGTGTAGATAGTGATGCATAATGTCCAGCCTGTACTTGATATGTATTGATCTATGAGTTTGGCTGAGTACTGTGTTGCCACGCAGACTGTGACAAATGGCTGAAGTTGATCTTCATGAATCCATCCGTGTCCACTAGCGCTCATTACTAATGTCTGAATACAAATTTATTGAGAAATGAAAGTATAAGCATTGCGAAAGCAACTGTATAGTTAAATTAGATTTTGTGAGGATTTTCATTAATTTCGACATGCATTTCATCACAAGCCAACATCATTTAGTGAAATGTAGATAGTGAATACCAGGTGTATGCTTCGTCCTAGTCTAGGACTGTACAGAATTATGTATGCATGACCTCACCAGCAGTCAATCCCAGAACATTTTGGTCACGAGGTCAGTCCGTTGGCCAATTACCAAGTGGTTTAGATATGATAGAGAAGATTTTTAGCTCAATTTGAAGACTTCAAATTGAAGTATGCGCTGAAGATGTCACCCAGTAGGGTGATGAAAGCTTCGCAAATTAACTATCCAGCTCAGAGAACACAACAACATCAAAATACCAAGTGGTTTGGAATTCACCTAACCACGAATTCCAAATTCTGTCAATTACGGTTCAGCTCTACCGCCAACCAACGCCACTACCGAACATTCGTTTAGCCGTGAAATGTGGAATCACCTGAACTTCAGATCATTCATCCAGTACCTATTAGCTAGAAATAGATTAGTACTTATGTTTTGAATTTTTCGTGGATCTGAAATGAAGTGAGTGAGTTAGAGAAAACTCCAATAAGCACCTGGCAACTATTTCGTTGTAGTCTGGGTTTCAGTCTCCTTCTTACTGGTGATTGCAAAACTCATGTTCTGAAGTTGTAACGTGAGGTCATGATCGATGGTGTCTGCCACTTCGGAATGAATTGAATGCATTGTTTGAAGGTGACAGGACATCGTGAATTGAAAATAAAGTTTAGTTGACTTAAGAAAGAACTATTTTGTCTTTGTTCCACTTATATTTTCATATTGATGTCTATTCGGAGATCATAAATCTGCAGGCACTATTCTTTGTCTATTCACAACAACCTTCCAACAGTTATTCCCAAGTACTCATTCAACAGATGATTTAATTCTATGGACACGATCCGTTATTTCACAATGACACTGAAAACAGTTTATTGCATTCAGTTAAAACTTGGTCGAGCTAAGCACTCAATCTTCTGTCATCTACGGGGCATCTAGATTCGTATAAGGGTATGATGTACCCTAATAACTTCAATATTGCTACTTCGCATCAAAAATGTTTTCTGCCTTTCCACCTTGATGTGTTAGATGTGTCTAAGTAATTCATAAAATACTATTGAAGATTTTGTAATTCACGACCGATCTTTGTTATTATGATTATTTGATTTTAAAACGGATCTCATTTCTTTAATTAAATTTAACGTCTGATAACTACTTGGCATTTTTTATTGCAGCGACGTGCATACACTATGGAAAGGAATGTCGATTTACCGATGAATTATGTTGTCACCCATACGAATGTCGATCGAACGGTATACCACACAAAGGTGCATGCACCAAATGTCGAAGTACCAATGAGACTTGCTTATACAGATGGGAATGCTGCAGTCGTCGATGTTCTTTCTTCCACTGCCTTTGATAGACGTAATAAGCATAGAAGCGTTGATCATGATCCCAGAGTGTATCTTTATGATTATTAATGAACCAAAAAAATAAATAAATGCCATATACATGCGGAAATATAATAGCAGTTTTTTTGCTATTCTACAATAAATATGCTTAAATATTCTGCTGCATGTAATTCGTGAATGTCTCTTTTCCTTTCCGATAATTTAAATGTAATTTGATCTGTTTGAATAAACTTTTTCAAACCTCCAGTTTTTGAAACCTATTGTTCCCTTAGTAATTTAGTCATCATGGAAACTATGGAAACGGTCTTCCGTTAGGGAAGAACGTGAGTTCAAATGAAGTAGTTCTACCCATCTGCATGCTTTTCAGTAAGATGATTAGTTGTAGACTTATTTGACCAACCCTTCTTCATAATATGTGATTGAAAATATGTGAATTCAATCCAACCTGGGCTTCTACAGGTTTTAAAGTTTTACAATGATAAATTTCAAGTTGGCACTTGCTAATTTCATCTTCAGGGAATCTTCGCTATAGTTATATTCTAGAAGAACCTATATGTCTGATATTTCATAGTGATTCATAGTTAACCTTTGACAAATAATGTTCACAGAATCTGTTCAAGACTACTTAGGTGATATAAAAATATATATGCATTTACATAATATGATATGCTTCATCCCAAAACAGTACTTATGAAAACGTGGAATTCTCAGCATTTGGTAAGATATCGCATATAATTTACTCAACAGCAACAACAATAAAAACTAAACCAAATTTATATTGCACTGCATATGTAACCGAAACTGACAATAGCAACATTTTGATATAAGCAGTGATAATAAGTTCAAAAACTAATCGAAAGTGTCAAATGATGGTTATAATAATGTTAATGGCTAAAACTGTAACTTAATTGTAGGAGAAAGAACAGCAAGCTGAGGGACTATAGCTTCAGTAAGCAAGGCAGAGGAATATTTGCCTTAATATACAGCATACTGCTTTGTTTACGAGGAAAAAGAATGTAACCAGTTATCCACCTCGGAATTGGCCTATTGTTAAGTAAAGCTAATTTGAACGAAATATTCCCATATTGAGTCATAAGAAAAGGCACAAACAGCGAAGAAAATTTTCTTTTCGACGATTCATTTTCATGAGCTGTACAATCGTAATTATAATTAACAAAGAAATCTTTAGACCAATCAGATACTGGTAAATTTTGTCCTTGGAAAATTGTATTACATAATGTAAGGTGTAAGAAGGGATGACTAATTGTAAGTTAGAAAGGAGACAGAAGTTGGCATGACGTAATAAGTGTGGGATAGTGAATAATCAATAATCTCGTGTAAAATGGACAGGAACTAGTGGAAAGGCTAATAAAGTGTTTTTGTATAAAATATGTATGGAAAACAATGTTATTAATAAACAGTAATAGAGTGGTAATAAAATGTGGATGATGGGGACAAAATGATAATAAAAGTATTAATAAAATAAAATAATAATAATGGTAATAATAGTGAACCTACATAATAAAGGATGTACTACTCACCAGACGACACGACTGTACGATCCAAAGATCAATATACCGCAAGCCGACATGGACTGGACAGTTTATCAACTTTCAGAGCTTCGTCCCACTAATCTGAAAGAGAAACCTGATACGTACGTTGAGCTCAAGGATTAGAAAAATCTGCTCGGAAGACATGGTGGAGAATGAATTAAAGTTATTACGTAAAATCCTACTAGAGAATGGATATCCACCAAGATTTATTGACAAAAACATGAAGGAGAAGCCTCGGATGTCAAACATCGCAACAGTTCCTAAGAAGACTCTCTTCATGAACCTAGAATTCAAAGGTGATGTCGCAGCGGAAATTCTCAGAAACCGCCTTTCTAAATGTCTGAAGAAGACATTTCCAACAGCCACTCTACGTATCACATTCTCCTGCAGACAGTTAATCCAGTCTAACTCTAAGGACAAGATACCGCTTTTGGCCACCTCAGTGTGTATTTATCAATTTACCTGCTCGTGTGGAGCAAAGTATATTGGCCGTACGCAACGTCAAGTCCAAAAACGTATTCTGGAACACTGCCCCGCTTGGTTGGCCAGAGGAGAAAAGAAGAATAGCAACAGCTCGATCCTCGAACACCTTGTCATCTCTGGACATCGAGCACCCCCACATGAATGCTTCACAGTGTTACACAGAGTCACTCAATATCGTACAAAGGGACTTCGGATTCGCCATCTTTACATAGCTGAAGCATTAGCTATTCGAGATCTAAAACCGGACCTCTGCATACAAAAGCGATACATACATTCTCTTGCCTTACCATGGCCAGAGTAAAATTTCTTATCACAATTTTGCTTCTTTCCTTTATTATGTAAGTTCACTATTATTACCATTATTATTATTTTATTTTATTAATACTTTTATTATCATTTTGTCCCCATCATCCACATTTTATTACCACTCTATTACTGTTTATTAATAACATTGTTTTCCATACATATTTTATACAAAAACACTTTATTAGCCTTTCCACTAGTTCCTGTCCATTTTACACGAGATTATTGATTATTCACTATCCCACACTTATTACGTCATGCCAACTTCTGTCTCCTTTCTAACTTACAATTAGTCATCCCTTCTTACACCTTACATTATGTAATACAATTTTCCAAGGACAAAATTTACCAGTATCTGATTGGTCTAAAGATTTCTTTGTTAATTATAATTACGATTGTACAGCTCATGAAAATGAATCGTCGAAAAGAAAATTTTCTTCGCTGTTTGTGCCTTTTCTTATAAAGCTAATTTAATAGAATACATCTGGACACGGAGTCGAAAGCTGATGTGTATATAAGGAATGTACATTGAACATATTTGGGTGGTTCATCCGTGGAGGGAAATGCATTACGACGTAAAGTAGCAGCAACATCTAGAGTACTTCGGCCCTGTTTATATACAAACTGTTTGAAGCAATTGAAACCTTTGGGAAAAATTCAAGGTTGAGTAAATATTATTTTTCCATTTATTTCAGAAAAAGAGAAGTATTTGCAATAGGTCGGAATCCAATATTCATACGAATGCATGATCTAGGCACAGGTGTATTATATATAGGTGAATATTTAATTGGTGTCACCTTTTTGCTAAGTACCCACTAGGTGTAGCAAAATGGAGCTGCTGACAGAACCTAAGATTCCTTTTTTCTAACTAAAATGAATAGTACTCGAGAAGGTGACGGTAGGCTTTCTGAGTCGTTCTACCTATGTAACTGTACCTACAACAGAAGTAAAATATATAAATGAATTCTACAGTGGTGAGACACGGTAGTTTGTCATTCACCTGCATTCGAATACACAATGAGTAGTGAATGTTAAACATATTGTTGCGGTAAAGAATATTTAGACATCAGTTTTTGAGTTTGAATGCCATTAATTTATTAAATGGATATTCCTTGCATTATAGAGTTATATAAACATAAGTTTCTTCTGCAATATTGCAGATATTTCTCTCTTTGTGATCTGATCATGGAAATGTTTACGTACTGTTCTCATTCAGTGAGTATTCCGTTGTTATTACTTAGTTTTCCAAAGTGTCGGTTGTACAGATTTTTCCAGCAGGAAACATGACAGTAGTGATGAGATATCGTTTGTATACAAGACGAACAAAATATGTGAAGTGAGCGTAATGGTCAAATCACGACTTCTTCTAGTGGAACTTATGACTCATTGTTCAACTCTATTTGCCTTTCATTTTTACTAAAGGGGTTTTCAATATTCTAAGATGCATTAACCAATTATTAAGGCAGAAAGTCGTTTAATTGGACTATGGAACGAGGTTCTCTGTGCTGACTGATATCACCCAGACTGACATCGAAGCATTATAGAGATATTTCATCATAGTGGTATAATATTCATAAAGTGTTTGCCAGCCATACTGCTGTACAGTAACTCGGCTGAGGAATCAGGTGATTCAGCTAGTTGAGAATAAAAGCAACCGTTCTGCAATCTCATCTCTGTAACACCGTTTCATATACCTGAAATCAATCTCTTATATACTTGAACAACCCGTAAGGTTGACCAATATTGAAATCGTATTAATTAAAGGAATGAAATGTACTGGCACACAATGAAGGTTTTTGATTATGTATGATGGAAACATCAACTGACATATTCAATAATGTTGGGATTACATGCGCAATAAAACGATACAAGCCTCAGGAAACTGTCAATCTTCCGTAGATATTAGATGGACTAGCCGCATTAAATAACCCGAAAGCACATCATGATCAATTAGCTGTTTATTGCTATCGATGATTATGACTGATGAGAAATCAGTTGTATTCTATAACTCACTGTGCAAATCCTGGAGTTACATGATGACACTGGTGGTGCAATTCCCAGTTGACACATTCATCGTTTATACCACACAATGATACCGTATTGTTTATTCGATCATCAACTGAAGATGAGGTTTTGAGAAATGAATTGTGCTGTAAAAGTCATCAGTAAATAGTCATTTCTACTTTACAATATTCTATCTTCAAACGAACTTATTCTACTGAAGAACACACAACTTAGTTCAAGATTTAACTCTCTCCTTCCTCTCCATTTGTAGATGAACACTGTTGGCAGTAAGATATCTCTGTCTCAAAGTACTAGTAAGTTTCTGCAGACACGATACATGAAGTAATACAATTAGGATGAAGTTTCGACTCCAGTAGATTTTTGATAACTTATGAGACTCAGTTAGTGGGAGTCTGACACAACTGTCTGCCTAAGGCAAACCAATGTATATAACAAGATGTACAACTACAGTCCTACTGCCACATAGAAAGCTCTGTTTAGTTGCATAATTAAGCCAAGGACTGATATGATTTCAGGTCAGATCACGAACTGACATCAACCAGAGAATCTTTGATGGTTGTTTTGCCTTAATTTGTCCCTTTCCATCGGAATGTACCCACAACCTCACTGCTAGGGATAGAATTCGGTATCTTCAGGTTGTAAAGTGAGTCCATAAGCCATTCATACATTGGTATGCAGTCTCGTGACCGGCCCATAAATTCTAACCCCTACCATTCAGCAAAATTTAACACCACCACCAGCTAATACCTGTTTGTAAATCTCTGTAAACCAACACCTAAAGTGTATGCGATGCTCAGTATTGACTGACTATAGAATCCATGGGATTCATGAAATTATACCATCATGAATTGTTCAATTCACATCTAACGG